GGAGAATAGGAGGAGGATCAGCTGGACAGAAAAAGTGCCCATTGCTCTAGGAGCCAGCCCTGCCTGTCCTGCTGCTGCTGATGGGGGTTTGAGGCTGGGTCTTGATCTGCTTCCTAAAAAGATGAACTAAAACAGCTGCAGATACTCACACCTCTTTTTTTCTGCAGCTATTAGTATGATAAAGTCAGTCTTCCTATAAAATTAGCAGGAAACCCCCCCTCTTTTCCTCCCAGCTACATGTTTTAGGATAAAAATAGTATGTTGTGAAATTATGATGACGATTTAAATAAAAAAATCTTGATTAGTTTCCCCCAATTCCTGAAAGAAACTGCTTGTAAAAGATCTTGATAGTTTATGTAGCAGAAATGAGTGGTTCATTTCAGGGCATAAAGGGACAGCCTTCTGGTGAGTTTAGAAGCTTCTGTTTAATTTTTATCCTGTTTTCTTTCCAATTGCTGCTGCTCTGAAAACCAGCAGAGGTTTTATTTTCAGTTGTGAGATCAGCTGAGGTTACTTTTGCTGGTTCTGTTTGATAGGCTGATGATATTAGGTTAGAGATACAGACATTCTTATTAGTCTTTATAAAGCTTTGACAGACTGCTTTGAATATTTTGAGCTGTTCACAGTTCACACAACTGTGATGTCTTTTGCTTTCCTGTTTTAGTTTTAGGTGTTAGCCATCGAGTTCGACTTGAAGCGAAGAGAGACATATTGAAGATATTTTTGGTACCTGCTACTGTTTACTGTTCTTAAATGAGAGGCACTTTAGTTTGAGATCAACACATTTCTTTGTTTGCATGTTATTTATGGATGGCTTGGTAGGGAAATCACCCTTTGCTTGAGTTGTGTTTATGAGTGGTTTTTTGGCACGCAACATTATTTTCATTCAAAGTGATTAACCCCGATGCGACCCGTTTCCTAACCCCTATTGTGCTGCTAGTAATGGGGCATCTTGGAAATCATGATGGATGTATAAATAAACTGGGCTGAACAGTTAAAATTAAGGCTATTACGTGCAGGAAGATGTTCCAACTTAGAAAAACAGGTGAGGTCTTAGTGGAGTGCTGTTGGGATGAGTTAGTGCTGGCCTCCTGCCCTTCTTTTACTCACAGTTTTCTGCCTTAAGATATTTCAGTGGTGTTTTTTGAACCTCCCCAAATGTTTTTCTCTTTTGGATGGACTGTCTTACATGCACAAGGAGAAGGGTAAATATTTTGTAGGGAAATGACATGATTTTAGGCTTTCTGGTGGAAAGGTGGTAGCTGATGTTATGGCAAGACACAGGAAAATTCTCAGTCGTTTACCTTCATCACTTTCAAATTCAGGGTTTGTTTTTCTTTCCTATTGCCAACTGCAGACAGGAAAATTCTCAGTCGTTTACCTTCGCTTCCAAATTCAGGGTTTGTTTTTTTTCCTATTGCCAACTGCAATTTTACTTTTTAACCTGCTTTAGTACAACACGTGGTGTGGGGGGGTTGTTGTTAGGAATTCAGTTCCTCTGATATCAAGTCCCAAAATGGGAATTTCTGCTATGACTCATTTCACTGACTTTTTGGTCTTTGCAGTGGGCTTCAAGGTTTTCCGTTCTTATTTGTAATTTATTCTTGAAAAATCCATAGTATTATTTCAGTAGCAACATTTTCTATATTCCTACAAATAAGGAGAAATTTTAAATGTTACTTCTTTGAGGTGGTTATCCATGGGAAGAAGACTCCCTAAAGTGTAGAATAAGTTTCACCTCTCTTTAGATGACTGTGCAGTTTTGTGTTTGCCTGGGACTTCGACATCCTGTTGTGAATTTCCATCCTTTACCATTTTAATCTTTTTAACTGTATAACAGAATTTCTAGGCTTTGTAGGGCCTGATTTAAGAGCACAGTATCTCTGCAGTGCTTGTTGAGCATTTCCTGATGAATACCATCAGCTGTAGCTGCCTGAACGTGGCATTTGCTCTTGATGCATCCACCTCAATACCGAGCAAATTACTTTGGAGTTGGTGGCCAATGTTCCAGGCTGGCAGTTTTTATTCTTCCCGTTGTGCTTGAGCTACTTGTTAGGCTGACTGTGGAGATTTTTATTGCACAAGTATTAAAAGGCTTAGCTGGAGAGGAGAGAGGCAGGCAGCAGTTATTAGAGCTGCTTTCTAAATTATTTATTTAGCTAAAAAGTGAAATCTGATCTTGCTTTCCTGACCTGCCAAGAGCTAATAGCGTTTGGTTTCTTTTTTTTTTTAAACTGTATAAAAAAAGAAAGAAAAGTTTAAATTATATTCTTTTGGTTATTTACACAGAGGAAGGTGTTATAACTAGAGCTGGTAGAATAGTATTTGTGATGTTTCTAACAAGTCCTGACAGAAGGGAAGAGATTAAACTGTATGGACCATTAACCTTAAAATCTCATGGGAATGTACATATAACTGCACTGATGTTTCACAAGTTTTTTGATAATTAGTGTTAAAGCACTTTAATTCATTAAAAACTCAGGTAGTTCTTCAGGCAACAGTGGGGAAACATTCTTCTTAATCCTGGTTTGCAGTGACCGTGTCCTGTTGGTGTTTTCATGTCAGCTCTAGCACTGAAATCCACAGTTGTTCCCTTTTCTCTCCCAAATGCTCAGAAGGCATATTATAGTTTGGAAATTGCAGCTTAAAGCATTTCCTAATTGCTTTCAAAGCCCTTGAGTTATGGAAGCATATTAACCAACTGGCACTTAAAAGCTGGTGATCTCTTACATAAAAATATTAGCCCAAATATTTTCATTGGTGTGCTTTTCAGTGCATCCAGTTTTATGGCTGATTTTAGACCCTGTAGATGCTAATGGAGCTGCTGGAAGCCCCTTTAAAAAGGAATCCCAGCTCTGGGTGTGCTGTGGGTGACATCCAGCTTTGATTAAACACTGTAATAAACCCTGCATCTGTGGTGTTGTTTTCAAAACGAAATTCAGAAGGGAACCCTGAGTACAACTCTGCTTTTTGGTTTATCTTTTGATCTCTTTTCCATCTCAACATGTGTCTCCAATGTTTTTAGATGGAGCGTTTGGGATTTTTAACTAGGGCTCATTTAAGAAATTTGCTGCTAGTGACAAGGTCAGAACGTACAGAAGTGGGGATTGTACCCAGCATGATCCTGCCCCAACATCAGCTCTCCTTTGCTCTCCCTCCTTTCTTCTGACACCTTCACTGGCCTGTTTGGCCATAGCACAGCTGCTCTTGGACAAAGAGAAGTTCTGGTAAGGGGCACTTTTATCATCATCACCTCTTCTTTCCTCATCTCCATCCTTTTCCTGCACTGTGCTTTTCACTCTCAGACACACTTTGTATTCTTGAAAGATGTTTGCAGTGCCCAGTCAGTCTTGCTGATAAAAAGTTCCTGGCTTTCCTGGTCTTTGCAAAGGGGATGAAATGGTGCAAAATAGTAAACCCAGGATGGGATCTTGTGCTCTGGAGCGAGTGCTGGGTCAGCAGATTTCACCAAGGAGAGCAAGTAGGTGGGAGAGGAGGAGAGGCAACATGCACAGCTCGGTGTTGTGTTATGGCACAGCACCTTGAGGCTCTTCTCAGCCAGCTGAATTTTCCCTCTCTGGGGCAGTTTTGTAGATTTTGTCAGTATTCCTTTGTTAAGAGTGACAGCAGCATTTCTGCCAGTAAAATCTGGAGTATACACAAGAAAGTTGTAATCATTGTACATTGTGGGGTCAGAAAAAAGCCATCTGAAAGCTTCTCCTTTTCCCTTCTCTTGCTTTCTTTTAATTCAGTAGATCAGCTCAAAGGTTGCTCTCTCCTTTCCTTGCCCTCTTTCTCAAAACCTGTCCCTCCTCCTCAGACTTGCACTCTTCAGCCCTGCTACATCTGGCTTGGAAGTGAGGTGTTCTTCTAAGAGTCTGTGACAGTCACCCAGACCTGCAGGGAGCAGAGTCCCTGACTTAATTAAATGTTATCAGATCTGCATGTATGCTCACACATTAACCACTGCAGTACTGAATTCCTAAAATACTCTTCTTGAAGGTTGTCTTTGACTAGGAATTTTGGGAATAAGCAACATATTGCTATGAACAGTTGCTGCCCTTCTAGTTTATTGGGGGTTAAAAACCTTTTCAGCTGGGATTGTAGGTAAGACAAAGATAAGAGGCTTGCTTGGAGTTCCTTCCTTGCAGAGCTTCTGAAGTAGGTGCCAGAAGGCTGCTCTGTACCACGGGACTGTTTGCTTTTCAGTGTGAGTGGAGGTGGGGAAGCTGATACAATAAACCTAGTTTGGACCTCTCTGCTCTGTAAATGAAAAGAAAATTCAGAAGGGTGATCAGACAAAATATATTTTGGACCAAAAATAATGATTCGTTGCATTTCCTCAGCGTGTGCACAGTCCTCTGTTTACAGACTCGAGCAAGAGTTCTCTAGATCCTGCAAGAATCAAATAAAGGACAGACTCTTCCAGTCCCCACCCTAATGCCATTGTTAGGTGTTTCTGACCACAGGATTCTTGATGCAGAAGCCTAAAATGACATAGGCTGTTCCTCAGATCCCATTTTGAGGGTAGGGATGGGGAATCTGTAAGGCTTCACCCTCAGTTTTGAAAGTATATGCAAGGACATGCAAAGTTTGATCTGTGGGCTGCATTATAAGTGTCTCCACGCTGTAATTTGATTAATTCAGATGTTACTGGAATTGCATTGTGTATATCCTGCTAAGGTGGGTGGGGAAAGAAAAGAACTGGGTTTATTGCTTATCCACGATACTTGGCAGTGCTGGAAGTTGTCCTCATTTCTTAAAATCTGTTCCAAGCTGGCAATTTCAGGCACTGAGAAGGTGATGTCAAGCCTATTTTGATTTGTTTTATTTAAGGCATACTGAGTCAGTGTTCGATGAACAGCACAGTTGTGTAATTGAATCTTGTTTTAGTGGATGATTCCATTTATTTGTTGTCAAACTTCTCCCTTGTGTGGTCTACCAGCCCCCCACCCTGTTAACACACACAGCCCAGTCACTCTCTGGAAATATTCTTTGCTTTCAGGTGAACAATCAGAATAATGTTCAGCATAAATCTGTTGGAGAACCTGAAGGTTTACATCAGCAGCCGACCTCCGCTTGTGGTCTTTATGATCAGTGTGAGTGCTATGGCAATAGCTTTTCTGACACTGGGTTATTTCTTCAAAATCAAGGAGATCAAGTCACCAGAAATGACAGAGGTAGGTACAGAAAGCTCCTGAGATAAACAGTGAGAATACTAATTTGAAAAAATGCCCAAAACTTAGGAGTTGTTTTTTTTTTCCATAGCCCTAAGAACCCTCTTATGGGAGTGCACAGAATCTTATGGGAGATATCTTCATTTATACTTGCCTCTAATTTCATAAGGAAAGGGGCTGTTGGTCTGAATGTTTGAATAGTCTTGGTTTATTTTGAGGATGAGGCTGAATTATCTGATGTGGATCTTCACTGGTGTGGCTAAAAACCTTTCTTCTCCTCACTCTTTTGTGTCAGCTAGCATGTTTATGAAACTTCTTACCCAGCAGTGCTGTGCTGTAAGGAGGGAAGCTCTGAACTGCTCATCCCCTGAGCATGGAGAGAACAGACCAAGTTAGTCTGGTTTTGTGTTTTGAAGGAGGATGTTCTGCTGCTGTGCTGAGCAGCACAGGCAGTGCCTGGGGTTGAACAGGTCTGACTTTGAACAGCTTGCCCCGTTGTTGAGGTGGCCACGGTGGTGTTGGCACTTGCTTCCTGAGCCATGTCATTTTTGTTAAATGGCTGGGAACTGCAGGCAGGATGGTACGTGTCGAGGTCTGCCCTGCTCCAGAGAAGTGGCAGCCAACAGTTAACTTGCTAATCTGGTTGAAATCTCCCCATTTGTTTTAAGGACTGGAATACTTTCCTCCTGAGGTTTAATGATTTGGACTTCTGTATATCCGAGAATGAAACCTTAAAGCATCTCATCAATGACACCACAACTCCAGAAAGCACGGTGACTAGTGGACAGGCAAGATCTTCTACACAGTCTCCACAGACTCTTGAGGACTCTGGTCCAATAAACATCTCTGTTGCCATCACATTGACCCTGGACCCACTCAGGCCCTTTGGTGGATATTCTCGCAATGTCACCCATCTAAGTTCCACAATTTTTGGACACCAAATTGGACTTTCAGGTATGCAAGGCTTGACCTTTAGAAACTGTACTAACTATATAAACAAAAGTTCACCAGCTTATTATTGGTGAGACTAATCTTTTGCTTAGAACACCTGTGTGTGTTCAGATTTGTTGTGAACATACTCCTATAGAGAGCCCTTCTTCACCTGTTTGCTAGAAAGAAATTCCCTGCATTCAGAATGGAAAAAGCACTTGCAGGCTTGCCAAGATCAGGCTTTGCAGTTTTAAATGATTAACCTAATGACAATGGAAGGTAATTTTTAAGCCAACACAATGGCAAGCAGCAAAAGCTTCTACAGTGACTATCTTCACTTCTATTTTGACACATTTTCAAGCCTTTAACTCACATTTTAAAGGCATTGATGTATATACATTAGAGATCAAGTAGCATGTTTTCTAAAAAAAAAAAAAATAGTTGATCCAAAATGCACACATGAATAAGCTTTAGCATTGTCAACAGCAACAAATAAAATGGTAACAATTTCTGTGATGTGAAGAGACTGATTTGCTATGTGGTTGCCCTGCCAGTAAGTTTTGACAGGAGATTGTAGAAGATTTATAGAAATTGGTAATAGAACCTCATTGAATTCTAGCTTTTCACCAGGGTTGCATTATATAATAATGCCTGAATGTGTCTTGAACCTCAGAGGCCTGTGGAGAGACATTTATCATAGCTGTAAATCTGTATTACTGTATTTTGTGGTGGTGTTGTTTTGTTACTGGTTTGAAAGCTGTGAAATGCAGTTTCCATTTCCAGTAGCCTGGATTTATTTTCACTACAAGTATAGCCACATGGAGTTAATTCATGCTACTTTGTCTGCATTTCAATATCTGCTGGCACCTTTTTGTTTACACAAATATCTCCAATTTGAAAAGCAAGCATCAGAAGCAGCAAATGTGGAACAAAGTCTTTGGCAGGAGAAAAGCTAAAGATCTGTGATTTTACTTTCTAATCAAGTTCTCTGAACATGAATTCACCTATTAAGAGTGAGTTTTTTATTTCTGAAAGGAACCTAATGACCTCACTTCTTCTGGGGGCAGGAGAGATTGGTTTAGTTTTTAACTTTCTTTGTTATCTCTTTGTTGGTAGTAAAGATCCTGGATGACTTCAAAGGTACAGATTCAGGGTGATGGTTGCTGGCTTGGTCATTTGCTTGTTGTCCTTATCCTGGTGATGGTTGCTCAGATACTTTTGTGAACGAAAACCAGCTTTCCTTCTCTCTTTCTCAAAGGCAGAGAATCCCATGAGGACATAAATATTACATTCACCCTGCCAGCTGCCTGGAATTCAGATGACTGCGTTCTCCACGGCCACTGCGAGCAGGTGGTGTTCACAACCTGCATGACTGTCACAGCAGCCAGCAACGTGTTTCCTGTCACAGTGTAAGTCCATTTAAAACTCTCCTTCATAGCCTGGTTACTGGGTGATTGATTCCTCAGTTGGCTCTCTGAGGTTGTGACTTCCTGATGAACATTGTTATTGACTGTAAAAGCTCTGTCTTGAGACTTTCCCTGTCTTTTAGCAACACTGGACTTTTCTGTGAACTGTAGCCCCTGCCTTTCAAGGAGCTACCTGTGAGGTAAACTTCACTAGGAACAAAAGAATCTGTGAATATTTAAGAAAGATACCCTACAATTTAGTTTCACTAGCTTGTGTGAGAGCTAAGGCTTGACACGAAGGTTCTTATCCTCTTCCCTGCTGAGAGATCAGTGTAAGCTGGATGCTGCTTTGCTACCATACCCCAGCAGGTACAGACCTTTCATCAAAATAGTTTCCCTCTGTCTTCTCCAGGCTCTCTGACACTATGCCCTGGAGAACCACCAGACAGCTTCATGGGACTGTGTGAAGCCTTACAAAACCCAGTGTTCTTCTAATTAAGCTGTGGGATGTTGACTTACTTGGAACAACATGCAGTTAAATTCTAATCTTAGTGTAACATGCAGTTAGATTCTAATCTTAGTGTAGGAATCATATGTTCTATATACACCCTTTTGGTTAAGCTTGGTTGTTTTGGGAAGGACCAAAAGAAAACTGTTTTATGCTGGTGTGGGGAAGGCTGGGTTTGACTCGATTCTAAAAGCTCCCCTTACTGAACATGGAGAGTGGCCATTGGGGTGCTAATTATTTCTGGTTTTCTGCAGTCAGCCACCACATTGTGTTCCTGAGACCTACAGCAACGCCACGCTTTGGTACAAGATCTTTACCACAGCAAGGGACTCCAACACAAAGTATGCACAAGACTACAACCCCTTCTGGTGTTACAAAGGAGCGATCGGAAAAGTGTATCACGCTCTAAATCCCAAACTGACTGTTATAGTTCCAGATGTAAGTGCCCTGGTGGTTTTATATCTTAACTCTTATTTCATTGAACTGGGTTCTGGTCGTGTCCTAAACCAGTCCTGTTCAGTGCTGGTTTGTTAGGACATGAAGGGCTGAGACAGTTGGGTGTGCTTTGCCCCTGGGGCTGATTATCTTTGTGTAATCTCCCTGTGCCTCTCAGACTTTGAGAACTACCCTTTATTTTTGAAGGCATTTGACAAAAGACACTGCCAGTAGAGGAGAAGAGCTTTCTAGGACAGGTTTTTATAACAAGAAACGTTTTGGCTCTTTGTGCCACAATTAGGAATGGCTTTGATTACTGTGCCAGCTCCAAAAGTTGATTCATGAAGTCATTTCAGTGCTGATCTGATAATTATTGCCTTAATGTAAACTGCCAGCTATCAGTGTGTTGTCAGTAAATGGTTTTAATTCTCTGCACAGGATGATCGCTCTCTAATAAACCTGCATCTCATGCACACCAGTTACTTTCTTTTTGTGATGGTGATTACAATGTTCTGCTATGCAGTTATTAAAGGCAGACCAAGCAAACTGAGGCAAAGCAATACAGAATTCTGCTCTGAAAAGGTGAGTCTGTGTAATAACAAAATATTGACTCCGATAAGGGAACACAGAAACCCTTTTTTTACATAGCACAGACTGGTTTTTCTTATCTCTGGGGATGTAGATTTAATTCCTTTTCAAAGAGACATGGCTGTTTCATTGTGGACAGCACAGATGGGTGCTGCAAAACACATACGTGTGCTTTGTAGGTGCTCAGATTTCTCTCCTCCAGAAGTGAATTGTTGCAGTTGAATAAGTGCTGGAATGCCACTCTGCTGTAATTCTGATGTTACTTGCACAAAGCATTGAATAGGTGGCATTGAGTAGTTTTACTTATCTCTTATCACAACAGACTGAAAACTTTGGATAAAACATGATGTTTAATTCTAATGGTTGTTAATCAGACTTAAAACAATGCCAAAGCTATTGAAACAGTCAGTATTCAATACTGCTTTTGAGACCTGCACTTTGCATTTAATTGTGAAGTAGGAAACTACTGTTGGCACTTTTTGATCTTAGTGATATTTTGTAGTATAAGCTAGTTTGGGGGTTTTTTTTTGGATGGGTGTGGTTTTTGTGGTGTTTTGTTTTTTTAAGTGATAGTGCTGAGTACAAAACACCTTCGGACTTATTTTGATTTCTCTTCCAAGCTAGACTTTTCAAGGTCCTTTGAAAAATCAAGGACAGAGATGCCAGCTGCAAGCAGATAAAGCAATATCACAGTTACAGGATTAAGAATTTGCCTTCAATTAAATGTTTTTCTTCTTTTGTCTAGGTGGCTTTGTCAGAAGCATAATCCATCCTCTCCTTTTCCTGAGACTGACTGAGAACCGTAATCATTTTAACCCAGACTGGGTCTTAACACTCTGTGAATACATTATCTTGCAATGTTGGTTTATTCCAACCAAAGACATTTCAAGTGCCTGTAATTGATTTGTACATATTTATAAGAGTATATTCAGTCAGATGATGCACTTGTTCCGCGTTGTAGTGCGGCCGGAACCTTCCAGTCTTTCCCTGTGGACATAGCCGAATGTTTGTGTAGATATGTTTAGTGATATGGCTACCTAGAGTCAGAGCAAGATATTTTTGTCTAGCTGCATCTGGGCAGGTTAAGATGCCTTTGCAAGTGTCTCAAACCAACCAACAGATCTTTGTTTCTTTTTTTTGCCCGATGATATGTACAGTGTGTTTGAAACAGTATGCACCTTTGATATAATACTGCATTTCCAAAGCCACCCATCTACTACATGATTTAAATGTGTATTTGTGTGGCCTAATACTTTCTTCCATTTGCTCCTTGCTTGCAAGAAAAGATATCAACATTTTAGACTTTTTTTTTCTTGAAAAAGGAAATACATATTCACATTTTAATAGTGCTGTATTTAGGACGAACTTGTGCTTTTATTCATAGTAAAAAAAAAAAATATTAAGAAGTGAAGTCCCATTTCAAAATGTTTCTTATTGAAAAGTGCTAAGTTTGATTTTGGTGGGGTTTTTTTGGGTTTTGTTTTGTTTTTTTTTTTCATTTGGCTTGCTGAATGAGAATCAGTCAGCATGGAGACTATCTGGATAGCTTTCCACTTGGCCTCCCATCCGCAGCCCTCAGACCAAGATTGTGTGTCTCTGCTGCAGAGCAGCTTGCTGGAAACCTCTTCTTTTTTTTTTTTCTAGAAAGTGAAATTTAAAAAGATCTATTGTATTAACAGTCTGTCAGGGTTCTGCAGAGCCTTGGGCAAGTGCAAATAATGAAAGGAAAAGAAATCCCATAGTCTGGTATAGAGCTTCACCCTGGGACTCTCCATCCAGCTCTGAAGGGCAGCTGAAAATGACACTTTTATTAGTGTTGTCCCATTTCCATTCAGTGCTGCCCACTCAGGGGAAATGACAAGGAGAGGACTCGGGCTGTTGTGATTCAGGTCAAAGAAACCACACAGTAACACACACACTGTTCTCTGTGTCCATTCTGAAATCAGAGGTTTTATTCTGTGCATTCCTCCCTTTCCCATTCTAGCTTTTGCTGTTTCTTCCTGGCTTCCTATTGAGTAGCCTCCTTAATTTTCAGGAGTCGGGGTTTTCCTGCAGACATTTCCACCACTGCTTTTAAAATCTCACTGATTGCCTTAACTGACCTTTCATCTTGTCTTTCAGATTTCTTGTCAGGTAGTGTAACTGTAGGTCAGCATACATACACTGAAGCTTTTTTCCCCTCCTCCTTTTGCTCTAAACTACAGAAGAGAAGAAACCCAAGTCAAAATCTCCCAGTCTCCATGATGCTGGTGTAAGATCCTTAGTTTATGACCTACAGACACTATTGGACAGTACCCTGCTGGTCTGTATGTGTGGGACTTCAGTAAGTTCACAAATCTTCAGAGCATTTGAAGCAAAATAGTCACACTTTTCTTCAGAACGTTTCCTTTACAGCATTTCAGTTACTTAATTGGTATTAACTAACCTGTTTTTTTTCCAGGGATGTTAAGGCAAAGCTTTAGACATGGCCTAGTTTGAATTGTAGAGATAAAATCAAGCTTCCAGTTTTCTCCTGATGCTGCTGTGGGCTCCTAGTGCTTCGCTGAAGCGAGTCAGTGGAGGCAAAACAGGTAGATGGCTTCTCATGAGAACTGTCCTCCACACCTACCCAGCCTTCTGCATTAATACTGACTTCTAGGGTTGCCTACGAGGGTGGCTTGATCTGGGGACCAAAGGCAGGACTAGGAAATGGTTTGGGGTGGTGTTGCAAATTCTGGAAATGCCTAGAAAAACCCAAAATAACGTGACTCCTCTAAAGAGGCAAAACCCAGTCCTTTGTTTCAGCAAAGTAAAACTCCAACTCCAAATGTCCAAACTGGGATTTGGTCTGCTGAGGAAAACAGATGTGGGTTGTTTTTTGGTTTTTGTTTTAATCTGGTTTTGCTATTTGGTAATTAAAGGAGCCTGCTTGGCGACTTAATACCCACTGTACTGAAGCACCCGGAGGTACTAAGATTGCAACCCACAAATGCAAAAGAGAAACATTACAGAGTTTTATTTTTTGGCCTTAGTTTTTCCCTTTGCACCCCTGTGTTGCAGCAGAGAGGGGAGGGTGGGCAGTGGGTTGGAGTGCTGCAGTACTGAGGGATGTTGGATTGTTCCTAGGCGCAATGTACAAAAGTTAAATGCAGCCAAACAGAAGAGTTAAAACTTAATATTGAAGTTCAGATCATATTGATCTTTCCTTTTTTTTTTTTTTTTGTTTTCTTTTGCTTTTAAACTATGACTTGAATCAGTTTTGATTCTATTTGTACGTGTTTTCTTGTTCTTAGAAAGCTGCCATTTTCTTTTGCATTTTTCTTTGGCATTACATGGAAAATCTGAGCCTTGGTTTTCAACCCTCTGCAGGTGATTGTAGGGTTAAGATGGCTTTTGTGTTTTGTTTTGTTCTTACACTTCACTTGTCTTGTTGCATGATGGTTAATAGCTGATTTGGAAAATGACATTTCTCTCCTAGATTAATTTTGTGTTTGTAAGATGTGCATATTGCTTTGCAGAATAAAAACAATGACGTTTCTTCTGTTGTCTTTATTTCTACTGCCCAGCTCTTGGGGAGGTTCATGTTAGTGTGGACCATCAGAGGAAATAAGCAGTGAAAGTCCACAACATATTGGAACTTCAAAACCTTTGTGTACCTGTAGTGCAGTGCACACCTTATGTAAACTGTTTTTCTTTATTCTGGTGTAGGGGATGTAGCTGGTGTGGTGCCCTCCATGAGAACTGCAGAATTTCTGACCTGGACCCATCCCTCCTGTTGCTGTTCCCTGATGATGATGGTACCTCCCACTGCCTCCTCCCTACAAGTGCTGTGTGACTTACCCAGCTGAACCCAGAGCAGCTGCTGAGTGTCTCAGGGTGCCTCACAGGTGGCTGGAGATGGTTGGAGGAGGTACAGGGGTGGCTGTTGAAAGGAAGATAATGTAACTTGTTTAAATTCTAGCTCCAGTTACTGTGCAGCCTGGAAGAAGTTGCACCTGCATGTTTTCAGTGCTTGAGAGAGGAGGGAAAACATACTTGTGTTTTGCTCTTGTAGCTTGTTAAAACCCAGGCATGGTTTGTTTAACAAGTGCAAGGAGCCCAGCCTGTCTTCTCTGAAAACAGTTCAAAGCATCCAAATGGTGCCTGTTCAGATCTGCTGGCGAGTGGGAGCATTGTTTAAAAGCAAATCTGTGACAGCATCTTAGAATTTTTACTAGGGAGAGGGACTTGGAGAAGGAGTAGAAAAAAGGGATTTTAATAGGCTACTTTTACACATCCCCTTGGTACAGCTCTAGGAGACCTGGCTAGCTGTGAAATGCCTGCCCTGAGTGAGGCTTGGTGGCCTGTGCTAGCCTGGTGTCAGCTTCCAGGGAGCCTGGCCCTCCTTCAGTTAGCAAAGCAGTCCCCTTTGGCCTCCCCTGAGCTCTGTCCCTCTGCCAGCAAAGAAGAGGAGGGCAGACAGACACGTATTCACTTGTTTTCTGTTAAACAAACTCCCTTTCATAACTCCAGCAGCCACGATTTGGCAAGTGCACAGCTTTGTTCAATAAGTTTTACAGAAGTGCAGCTTCCTTGAAGGCAATCCTGTTTTCGTAGCTTTTCCTGCGTAGAGTTACACTTGAGTAAACTTATAGGAGGCTGTATGGGGAGTTCCCACTGAGGAAAAAGTACTTGGCAAATCAGGAAAGTGATTGAATTAATTTTGTTCTAAAGTAAAGGTGAGCAACCTGCTGCCTGGAATATTTCCCAAGCCTCTTGACATAGAGGAAGTCCTGCTGTAATTTAGTATCATCACCTTAAGCTGAGTTCTTTCAAGGCTTTCTCCTGGCTCTTGATGGTCTGAGGAGCTTAAAACCAGGTATTTTAACCAGGTGGTAAAAGGGGGGGAGCAAAAAAAGGCTGTTTTGCTGATATTTCCAGGTGCTGGAAGCGTGGAAGGGTGGGGTGAGCAGGAGGGATTCATTTGATAACCCTGTAATCAGGCTGTTTGCTCAGAATGGTGGGGTGAGCAGGAGGGATTCATTTGTAATCAGGCTGTTTGCTCAGAACGATGCTGTTTGTTAACAAACTCAAATAAGGGCAATGAAAAATTATGTAAAGCTTGCTCATCTGGAAAAAATGCAGGCCCTGTGTTTGCAATCAGATTACATGGAACGTCCACAGGCTGCTGCAGCTTGGGATGGGATGTGCCATCTGCCATCAGCAATGGCATTTCTGTAATCAGGTGCTGTGTGCCAAATATTGGGATATTACATGAGATAGAAAATGAGGAACAGCATCTGTCTTCTCGCAGCAGCACCTTCTTTCTGCAAGCAAATTGCTGCAGCTTCCTTTTTAAAGCAGAGTCTCAGGACGTTGCTCTCAGAAGTTGATGTGGATGAGTGCCCTGGCAGCTGCTGAAACCTGGGTTGTAAATTCTCCTTTGCCCTCTGGCACTAATCAAAACTTGGTTCATGATGAATTGCCTGGCAGAGTGAGGAAAGAAATCTGTAAAGCAGCACCCCATGTTTCTGTTCAACTCTTGCCCTGTGTTTGCTGTTAACTGGGGAACTCGGTGGCTTTCAGACTTGATTTCTGAGCCCCACGAGTGTCCTGGAAGATTCCTGAGAAGTGGCACAAAGGTTCCTTTGTGGCATCTACTGCCTGTGTGTCCTGTGTTGGGGCTTTTGCCAAGGTGTTGGATGCAGCCTGGGGACTGACCTTGAGGTGTCTGTTAACCCTGGGAGAACAGCTCTGCAGGAGAACCAGCAGCCCTGCTGAGAAGCGAGGCTCAAGCTTGCTGGATGGGGACCTTCCTTCAGCACTGGTGCTGAGCATTTTCCCAGTCCTGCAGCACACTGCACCAGCTCTCAGGAGATCTGGGTTCCTTGCTGTGTGCCTTGACCAGCTAGCTTGGTGTTTGTAGGTCTCAGTTTCTTTATAAAGGGCTTTTACAGCTCTGCTAAGTGCTGTGACCTTTACTGATTGATAGAAATAACTTCTCCTCAGCCAGAAACTGCATCAGGCTGACTGTGCTGCTGCTGGGAGGGGAGGCTGTCCCAGCCTGCAAGGCTTCCTAGCAGAACCAGTATTCCCTATTTACCTTTGGAAGGTGTTTCTGTACAGGATGTTATAGAAACAGCCAGGACCTAAGCATCGATTTCTTTGTGCTGGCTTTATTGTTGGCTCCTTGCAATGTGATTCTGGCACCTTGAGGAAATAAATAACCCCATGAGATTTAATCTGTAGCTACAAAAAAAGGAGCATGGTAATCCATGGACCAGCCTTTCCACAGGCATTATTAATGTTTGTGAATAAAGCATTTCACAATACATGGTGGTTTATCCTTTGAAAAGATCCCTTCTGGTAATGACCTCTACCTCCTAGCAAGAAGGGGCTCTAGG